GCTGCCACCACTGCTGCTGCCGCCGCCTCCTGGAACCTGAGGAACTGTAGGGGGAGCCTTGGAAACAGGGGGCAGGGGAACCTTACGGGGGGTGCAGCCTGGAAAGTCAATAGAAGAAGATGGGAAATGTTGATGGTTATGTTGGTCAAAATCCCTCATTATGACAACTGTTAATTTGAATGTAACCCTCACTCTGGGCAGTGCCAAGGCCGGTCCTCAGGCTGGTGATCAGGGGGTATTTGCCCTGGCCGCAGAAAGTGCCACTGAAGTCATCCAGATCAACAGTCCACACCATGGCACCTGCGAACTGGTTCTGCTTCAGCCAGTCAATCTTTGAAGAACAAGGGAGACAGAGGAAATGGAATTGTATATTTAACCATCATTTGATAATTTTGATACACATGTCATTTATTATTAACTCGTACGTTTTCTCTACCAGCATGGAGATCATTTTTTTATCTTATATCTATGTTAAAGTACAGTTTTCTTGCAACTTGCAATTAGTCATCGAAGAACTGCTGCTTAATTCTTTTGCGACACCCACCTTGATGTTGAAGCTCTTCACATTGTCATAGCCAACCCAGATGTTCTGGGTGTTGTAGGCGTATGGGACCTCCTGGGGTGCATCCCAGGCCTCAGTGGCTCCCTGCTTCAGGAAGGTGCAGATCTGGGGAGAGTCAAAAGTAAACAGCAGTAGGGTTACAGCCAGTGCCTATTGATGAAGGGGAACAACACTATTGAGTAATCAGTCATACCTCATAATAGGCCAGGAAACCACTCTGTCTGCTGTAGGGTCCAGCAGGTCCAGGGCCACTCGCAGGGGCACCAACTCCAGTTTGAGAGCTTGTCAGCCTGAAGGTGTGGCCATAGGTGGCGAAGCCAACCAGAAGCTTGGAAGCAGGGGCACCCTGGCTCTTCCAGTAGTTCATGGCATAGTCCTGTAATTATAGACAGTGCTTAATGAGACATATGCAGCTGTATTTTCTTACTTAATTTTACATTTGCCACTGGTATGAAATACTGCAAGAAGTCTTCATAAACCTAGCTAAATGGACACCTACCATGTTGAAGTAGATGTAAGCACCTTGGTCAGCAGGTCCCTTGTAGAGGGGGCTGTTCTCACCAGTTTGTTGCTCCCATGATCCATGGAAGTCATAGGTCATGACATGGAAGTAGTCCAGAACCCTGTGAAAGAATTAAGAGTGCGAAGGTCTGTGAGGCCTAATACAAAATCAGCTGACATCCAAGCGAGTTTAGTACCTTCAGAGAGAACTCACTTTCCAATCTCGGCGATCTCGTATCCACTGTCGATGGTGCTCTTGCCAGCAGACACAGCAGCAGTCAACATGAGACGGGGACGGTTGGTCTTCTGACCTTCAGCCTCAAAGGCAGCCAACATTTCCTGACAGGGGCAAGATGGTCAACGGAATGTTATCAATAGGTTCATTAGCAATCTGAATATCATATCTTCCTGACCTTATAAAGAAGGTGAATACATGTTTTCCATTGCTATGTAAATTTCTGTAGCTCCATGTTTGAAGCAACTGTCATACCTGGACCAGAGTGGTGAAGAGGCCCTTGTCCTCAGGAGGACTACCTCTGGATCCGGGGTACTCCCAGTCAATGTCAATGCCGTCAAATTCGTACTGCCTCAGGAATACAATCACGGAGTTGATGAAGGTCTGGCGGTTAGCAGCACTGACCACCATGGCATGGAACCTGAATGGGAGGGAGAGGGTTAGTTTGCCAAGGGGGGGAGAGTCATACTCATTAATCAGCTTGTGGGAGAAATATTGTCAGTGGTGCTCAAAATTACTTTGCTGTCCCGAAGTTCCAGCCACCAATAGCCAAGAGGTTCTTCAGTTGGCTGTTCCTGTTGGCAATACAAGAAGACATTGAGTCATAAAGTGGTTCATAAGACATCACAGAACCTCTCTTCAACAAGGTCAGTCTTGTAGTCAGTTACTAATACATGACTTATGAATTCTGCTGCATGCAGAATTCCATAATGCTGCTTTTAAGTTCTCATATTTCATGATTTTTCTGCAGTGGCACTCACTGGTTCTTCAGGGCCGCAAACTCATTGTAGAGCTTCACGTCATCCCACTCGTAAGGGGCAATCTCGTTGTCGTTCATGTTGGCAAAGGCGTAGATCAGGTGGTCACAGAGACATGGGTCCACTTGGTTGGGGAAGACCTTGCCAGCTCCCGGTCTGTACTGTGCCCAGTTGGTGAAGTAACAGGACAGGATGTAGGAAGATCCTGAGGCCAGTTGGGGAAGGAGAGGAGGTGAGGATTCATCATGAAATTGGTCATAATTTTATGGTCAAAAGCAAACAAGTCCTGCAGTCAAAAATACTTGTTTCTATCACAGTCAGTGATGTACTGTGTCAGATATGGTTCATTGTACCAGAAACACATTAGAGCATGCAAGTCTTACCCAGCTGCACCTGCAACAGGAGAGCCAAAGCTGCAAAACGAAATACATAGGATTCACTGTGTTGGCTGAATGAATCAGACAGTTCTATTAAGCTTGGTCTTTTACTTAAAGGTTATAGTACATCCATATTTTTTACATTATGTAATAAACATACATGTATATGTAATTAGTATATAAAAGATGTAGGAAGTAACTGCAAAACCTTGGAAACGTTGGAAAGCTGAGAGAAAGCCTACTTATAGCTACTTACCAGCAAATCCCAGTAGCTTGGTCATGTTTGCCTCTGTACAGCAATTGGTGGTGCCTTTCTCCTTAAATACTCCCCATCAGCCATGTAATCTTCTAGTTTTTCAAGTGTAATGTTTATTTTGGCTGTGGCACAATTTTATACTTACTGTGAGACTTTCCAAAAAAACAGAGGTGTTTGATTTTTATCATGTTTACCGTTGCCTCTTTGATGTACCCATAATTTTAGTACGTATGCCCTTCAGAGAAATGCAAGAGGTTGACACTGCAAAAATAACACCAACACCGAAGGTCGTTCAAACTATGCACATACCCATGATGTACAAGAGGCAGACAAAAAAATGGAAGCAGCTAAACATATATTCATATCAGGGATGTAATGGGGAGTAGAGGCAGACTTTGTCTTCAGGGCAGCTTTGATCCCTCATCGAATGCTGCCATGTGACTCCCGTGGGTAGTGGGATTTTGAACCGTTCTTCAAGAAGGAAAGCCCCTAGTTCTTTGAGGGAGGTGGCTACTTCAATATATACACAGAATTAGCTTTCATTAATATGGACAGTATTTACAAATCAAATTATTTTTAAATAGAACTTTTGGCTCATTCCTTTACAGTATATCCATGCCTTGACCACAAACCAATGAAGAATATTGGTGGATAAGTAAATTTAAGTTGCTTGATGACTTTAATTCCCTTTCTTACACCCACAGACTCCAGGATGGGTTCCAGACCCCCACGGCCCTGCATTGGACAAACGGGTATTTAAAATGAATTGATAGACATTTTTTGAACTGCCACAATTTCTTGGTGTCACATGGAAATGTGACGATACTTTGTAATTAACTGCTTCACCTGTTGTATGCTATTTTAGGTTTTGTACTTGTATGTTGTGTTTTAAATCCTTTCCCTGAATTAAACCATATTTTGTTTTATTGCATCAATTAGACACCAGAAAATTTGTTTTGACTTCTTTCCTTTCCCTACACAAGCTGTTCAAAAAGTTTATATAAATCTAGAGGTTAAATTGCTTTCATCTACACCATTTAATGAAAGGTTCTGCTAAAGGTATGATAAGTAGATTAATATCATTCATTAAACAAAATAATTATGCAGACCATACTTCACAACACATGACTCGTGGCCCAGATTTTGCTGACAAAGGGCAGCACGGTTTGAGTAAGTATCTGGAAAATTTCAACAGCAATGACTTTAGTTATGTAAGAAGAAGGTCGTTTTTGAAGCAGGGCAGGTGACACAGGTAACACAAATCAGCTTTATAGCAGGAAAAGCACACTGTAAAAACTGTTACTTAGATTCAACTCAAAAAAATTAAGGCAACATTTTCCAACTACTTTTTGTAAGTTTAGTGAACTTCTTGTTATTTTGATTTGGTAAAAACCAGTATTATTCATTTTACTGTATGCTAAAAAATTAAGTAGAGTCTACAATATAAAGCAAAACATTTGAGTTTAACCATTGTGACAGAGCAGCATATTGACCAAATCATACTTAGTTAAAATAAGTAACATTTAAAATAAAAAAATAAACTTTTTGATTTTAATTAATTTACTCTATTAATTTAGACAATTTCTTCAATCCACTTGAAATAATTAGTTAACATTGCCATAACTTTAAATTAATAAGGAAAGAGAGGTTTTCGTTTCCAACGTTTATTACTCTATAACAGCTGCCATATACAAATTTTTATGATACGTTGCAGAGAGAAGCGTCAAAAATATAATGTCCTCATCTTTTTAATCATGTAAGGGCAACAACTGTGACTACAAATCTATCAGTTAACGTAACCTTTAACTCAGTGTTCCCCAACCGTTTTATCACCGCGGTCAAAAAAATTTTCGCGGACCGGGGGGACGGTTGCTCCTGTAATGGCGCGCGAGACGTATCCGAGAGAATAATCCGGTCATCTTTCAAAATACAAGGATTTTCAAAATGAAATACCGGTACCCGTCCGCGGCCCGGTGGTTGGGGACCACTGCTTTAACTGACACATGTACGAGGATGAGAGACCATGCTACTAGTGTTTTGCTAGCTATTTCGGAAAGAGGCAGAACATTTAAGACGAGTGATTTGAGACAAAATAATTCACATTCACCGAGGCTAACGTTATTAGACTCCTTAAACAAACAAAATGGCGATGTTTTTTTTTAAGTACCCAGACTAAGCAGAAACATAATCTGGCAATATATCTCACATATACCTATCCTACGTTAACGTTAACGATAGTTGTTTTAAGATTAATGTTAATTTCAAGACCTTTGGTACNAGCCTGAAGGTGTGGCCATAGGTGGCGAAGCCAACCAGAAGCTTGGAAGCAGGGGCACCCTGGCTCTTCCAGTAGTTCATGGCATAGTCCTGTAAACATACTGCGTAATGAGACATCTGTAGCTGTATTTCATTACTTCGTTTTACATTTGCCACTGGTTTGAAATCCCAGAAGAAGTCTTGATAAACTCAGCTAAAAGGACACTTACCACATTGAAGTAGATGTAAGATGCTTGGTCAGCAGGTCCTTTGAACAGGGGGCTGTTCTCACCAGTTTGTTGCTCCCATGATCCATGGAAGTCATAGGTCATGACATGGAAGTAGTCCAAGGTCCTGTAAAAAAATAACATGTGAACTAAATTCTGACAAACCAACCATGTGACATCTGACTAATGGCCTACAGCGGGTACGCACTGGCCAAGCTGGGCAATTTGGTATCCACTGTCGATGGTGCTCTTGCCAGCAGCCACAGCAGCAGTCAGCATGAGACGGGGGCGGTTGGTCTTCTGACCTTCAGCCTCAAAGGCAGCCAACATTTCCTGAGAAAGGGTTTAAGGTTTAGGGTCAAATAGCCAATAGGCTACTGCAAAATCTTACTGTGACTCAAATTTTTAATAATCAAAAAGTCACTTTTTAGGAAGTCAAGTTTATCTTGTAAGTTTTTGAATGACTTCTAATGACTACCCTATATTTCAAGTATGTAGGGATCATATCATGGAACCTTCTTGAGAGTTTGCCAATGATGTGTTTGCATTGATTTTAAATATCTGTCACATTGTATTGCTTATAAATTAAGTGAAAACTTTAATAACAGTCATTTTTAAGTTTCCACAGACCTGGAACTCCATGTTTCAGTGTTTTGTCCTACCTGGGTCAGTGTGGTGAAGAGCTCCTTGTCCTGAGGAGGGCTTCCTCTGGATCCGGGGTACTCCCAGTCGATGTCCAGACCATCAAAGTTGTATTCCCTCAGGAACTGGATCACAGAGTTGATGAAGGTCTGGCGGTTAGCAGCGCTGGACACCATGGTGGTGAATCTGAGTGAGAGGGACAAAAGGGTTATATTCACTGGGTGGGGGGTGTCACCTGCTAACCAATCAGATTGTTTGAGACAGGATGCCGCTGAGGCCCAGAATTACTTTGCCGTCCCAAAGTTCCAGCCACCAATAGCCAAGAGGGTCTTCAGGTTGCTGTTCCTGTTGGAGATGCAAAAAGACATCAGGTCAAGGGTTGTGATTAATTCATAATATGTGCTAACTACAGGGGTCTTTATGCTTAAAAACCTGGTCACATACTGTCCTATAGTTCTCCACTCTCTAGGATGTATAATTAATTTTTTTTGTTACAGCAATGCTGTTCAATGCAGCCCTTACTGGCTTTTCAGGGCTGCGAATTCCTTGTAGAGCTTCACATCATCCCATTCATAGGCTGCAATCTCATTGTTGTTCATATTGGCAAAGGCATAGATCAGGTGGTCACAGAGACATGGGTCCACATTGGTGGGGAAGTACTTCCCAGCTCCCGGTCTGTACTGTGCCCAGTTGGTGAAGTAACAGGACAGGATGTAGGAGGATCCTGCCGGATTTAGGTGAAGATGTATGTTACTATTGCATTTTTATTGGAGGAACCAGAATAACTGTCCTGTGATGATTTTTCTTCAACTCTTATTCACATAATTGTCCTAACAGTCATCTCTCTGAGGTTTTTTAACTGGAAGCATGTTTTTTTTCCAGCTGCTTTTCTAATAATATTCTTCAGTTTTGTACTTTGTAATATTGTACTGTTTTGTAAAGTAGCCTTTAGCTCATATAGTAGCATGTGTCTTACTCTAGTCATTGAATTGATAATGAAATAATTTTGATGAATAATTAATATTAGTTGAATTTCTTCACAGGACAAGAATACATAACCTAAGCAATTCTATATTAATTGTTAGTATGTAGTAACTGGTAGTATGTTAAGCAGTATGATCACCCAGCAAGTATGTGACAGTGGAAGGGAGACTTACCCAGCTGCACGTGCAGCAGGAGAGCCAGTGCTAATGGGGGTGAAACAGAGTTAATCAGACCGTCTGATACAAAAAATAAGGTAATTTTTTTTCATGATGTGGCAGCAATATACGGAAAAAGATTTGAAAAGGTGTGAGAAATCCTACTTACAGATGAAACCCAGTAGCTTGGCCATGTTCACCGCTATACAGCAAGTGGTGGTGCCTTTCTCCTTAAATCCTCCCCATCTCTGGTTTAATCTCTCTTATCAGGATTGCTTCCCACTTTTGATATTTATTCTTGCTAGTTGAGTGTGAGTCATATTGTACATTTTTCCACTAAAGGCCTGATTCACCCGACATTATGATTATCCAAGTCTTTGATACCTATGAACTTGGCTTGTCCTTCGGCTCAAAATAACCTCATTTTAAGTGTATATGTGGGTTTTCAAACATTGTTTATAAAAAAAAATAAAAGCGTCTACTCTAAGTCGGTTTCATATTGAAGAGAGCTGAAGTAAAATATATCTTACCCATACTCAGTAGTAATACACTTGTAACACAAGTGTAAGTATCGAAAACAAGACTTAAAGAAGACGTGAGATGTCTTTTATCTCATTAGAAGGTGACATATTAAAATGCAAACATTCATCAAACATTTTTGAAGGTTCATTGCCATTGATTAAAAGCCTCTTATGTCACAAGTTTTAAAGACAAATCTAATAATTAGTTTGTGTTAGTAAAACCCCACGCTGGCTGATACAAAGTGTACCAGGTATCATATCATTTTATAAGGTAGTAGCCATTGGTACTGATACAAAATCAGCATGTTAAAAAAGGAACCAATTTATTTTAATCAGTCTACTTCTTTGTATTTAAACTATTATGAATTGCCAACTGAACATATATTATCGAAATCTAAGTGTGTTCTTATCAGTTTAACCCTTTAAATGATATTGTTGACATAATGTTCTTTTCCAGTGGTTCAGTTCAGGCACGTACAGGGTGGGGTGTTGGGGGCCCATGAGCATCTGGCCCTTTTCCCCTGAAATATTACAGTTTTTCTCAGTTACTTTGGTGCATTTCTCATAACGGATTTAACATTTGCATAACAGCGAGTGCATTTCTCAGAACATTTAGTGCAAATGGCAAAACATCATGGATGACCAGCAAAATCAGGTAAATCCTTAGTCCATGCCTCAAAAGCAAGTACTTATGTCATTGAACATGTCAGTGCCATCAAAATCCCAAGTCCATGAATCATCGTTCACGGACATGGCAGCCAAAATGTAAAGTCGTGTTATCAATATAAAATTGGCACAATCTAAACATTTTCTGATGCACAAAACATCTGAATGACAAAGGCAGGAAACATAAAAGTAAAAAACACTGATTGCAGGAGACTGATTCAAGAAGAATATTTTATTGATTGCACAGGTATATGGTGACATACCAGGCACTGCAACTGCAGTCTAGCAAAAAATGAATTTCAATGCCTCATGAATAACATATGAAATGAAAAAAAAAACAATTACAAAGTCAAAAAGGGAAACAATACATACAGACTGAAACTCTAAATGCTTTTTATTGCAGCCAATCCTGTATATTGGGCCACATGTTCTCATCCACAACAACAGAAATCTTCCTTCGCAATGCAGCGTGGAAAGAACCTCCTAGAATGTCTTATCCAGCCTCTAAAGGCGTCTGCTGCTATATCCCCACATGAAGCTTCCATGGCAGTAAGCAGTGTCATTTGTGTATGTGGGCTACGGTCATATACCTTCCACCTCCAAGCTCAGAAGAACTCTTCAGTTGGGTTGAGGAATGAGGAATATGACGGTAGGAATTCCATCAGCATCCTGGGGTGGTTAGCAAAGAATTGCCTGATTGGATTGGAGTAATGGAAACTCACATTATCACAAATTATCACATACTTTGGTAAATTTTCTTGACCAATCTCCTCTTCAGGTGTTGTATGGCCCCACAAGAGGGATGCGAGTGTGGACCCCATTGTCCGAAATAGCCGCACACATAGTGATGTTCCCACCCTGCTGGCCTGGCATGTCAACAGCAGCTCTCTGTTCAGTCAGATTATCTCCTTCCTTTGGCCAAGTTGAAGCCAGCCTCATCCATGTATATGAAAATTGTGCAGAAATCATTAGTATTGTGAATACATGCCAAAATAGTTTTATAGAAACCGATAAGATATACTTGATAGCCAATGATATCTTGTTCAATACTTTTGACTGCAATGACTTACACAATGACAAAACGACAAGTTTGTCTGGAGTGTAAGACTATGTAAAAGAGGGCTAGCACAAAGCATTTTGAGCATTATGACATAAGCAACCGCTGATGTATGATATAGCTGAGAACTGCACATAAGCATCTGCCTAAGTGTACTAAAGCAATTGCAAAATGACGAAATGATGTGCTGTGCACAACTGACTAGAGGTTGTGGGAATTGAACGAGCAGTTTTGAAAACTTCAATTCAGTTGTGAGAAATGCATGAAAGCAACTGAGAAAAACTGCAAAAGTGTCCTCCTTTAAAGGTAATGAGTGCCCTTTTTTTTACCGGTCGACAACTTTTACCATCAAGCACCCGGTCCTCAAAAAAATCTCTGCGTAGCCCTGGTGCAATTTAAGTCATTGTCTGGTGAAAGTCTTAATACTTGTTACTGACCAACTTAAAAATAACATTCATGACAAAGATTTGCAATCTGAGAATAAAAATGTCTGTAACTGTATTTTCATATTCACATTCTTCTACTTCTTACTATCTAATATGAAATTTGGAGACAGAAAACCAAGTTTCTCTGGCTGATTGCTCTCCAGGTTTAAATGTAAAGTATTTTAAAGTGGTTACTGGCCTCCCTAATGACTGAGATGGCAGCGCAGATGCATGTAGCGGCCAGTAGGTTCACCCCCCTGTGTACCTCACTTCATTGTGCACATGCATGATAAGTTGACTTTGAGTTGCTCTGAGTGTAAGACCATGCAAAAGAGGACTAGCACAATGCATTTTGATCATCATGACATAAGCAACCGCTGATGTATGATATAGCTGAGAATTGCACATAAGCATCTGTCTGAGTGTAGTAAAGCAATTGCCAAATGATGAAAACAACCAGAAATTGCTGTCATGATGTGCATGACTGATTAGAGGTTGTGGGAATTGAATGAGCAGTTTTGAAAACTTCAATTCTGTTGTGAGAAATGCATCAAAGCAACTGAGAAAAACTGTAAATTCTTATGTCCCCAGTAGTTTCATAACAACTTAATTAACACAGCTCGTTTATTTTTGTAAACAGTTTGTTTGCGGCAGTCTGCTTGTGCGGTGGAAGCATGCTGACGCAGGGCATGCGGGGAGCCGTCACTTTCAGGGCCGTGAGTCATTCACACATGGGGCTATGAAGTCTGTTTCATTTCGGCCTCCATCAAACTTGGGCTGAAGCCCAGAGCCGGCCTGAGCGGCAGGGTGTCTGACCTTGATTCAGTTTAGTTGAGAAGAGAACTTTATTTTCTGGTTACCTGTTATGTCAGTTTTATCCATACCTGGTCCCTAGAAAATGAACACTTTTTCAGGTTGCATTTCTGCTCAGTTCCTCAGTTAATTTGCATTGCTGTTACAAGATCTCTCCCACACGTTAATGCGTCTGTGAAATGTATGTATGTGTTTTAGTTAAATTATCTGTAATATAAAGGTAAAGATGAAATGGTAACACTTTACTTGAGGGGGCACAAGTAACTTAGTAACTCAGTAACTACTCAAGTACAAATTACGAATAAATATAACTGCATGAAACACATGAATGATTATGATTGATTAATGATGAACAAACATGGGTTCAGTATGCAACTAACTATTTAATTAATACATTAAGTAATTACATTATTATTACATAATTACATTATTCGTGCCCCCTCAAGTAAAGTCTTACCGGTGAAATTAATATTTAGCCATAGACCTATAACTGCGCTGTTTATATGGGCAAGATATCCTGAGCTTATGGATCTCTTAAGCAGAGGTGGATAGTTCAGGTTCAGAAAGTAAAGTTCCAGACCAAGATTTTGTTTCAACCAACCAGCTGAGAATAATGAGTCACAGTCACAGAATACTCAGATGGGTGGTTGAAACAAAATCTTGGTCTGGATTTTGTAATTTCTGGACCTTAACTATCCACCTCCACTCTTAAGAGACTGTAGGAATGGGGGTGCTGAGAAGGTCAGAGACACAAATTCACTGTGGGATAAGAGCACACGGTTTAACCTGTTACAGGCAGACGGGATCCAGCAAACAAGCGTCATCACAACAGTGAATATGCCCTCGTGAATCAAGAGGACATAGACTGAAGACAGAACATTTTGGAGAAATACCTTCTATATCATTCATATCATCATCATATTTTCAGGAGCTGACATTGACTTAACAGCATCTAATAATGATAATAAAAATAGTGGTAGTAGCACTATTAGTAGTAAAATGTCTTAGTTAATTACTAGGTTAATTTTAGCTGGTATAGCCAGTTGATTTGGTGTAACAAGAGCATTGTGAATCATATCTGGTTGCTATAAGAACCTGATTCTCAGGTATTTCCAATTTTTGTCAAAGTGAAAGGAAAAGCCCAGACTTTTACACCTGGTCATAAGGTGTAGGTGAGGTGAATGAATGGGCAGGTCACCTGACCCCGGCCCCCGTTAGGATGAGCACACCCTCTGCATGATGTCATGCACGCTTTTCTTGACAAACTATCCTGACCAGTTGTCACCTTACAGCTTTGTTTAATGTTCTGGAAGTTCTAAAACAATGACAATCAAGAATAGAAGTGAAAGTTTATGAAGTTATTGCATGGATTTACCTTAAAGTATGGTATTGTCTTCCATCCATCCATTTTATCTAACTGTTTGTCCTATGTAGGATTACGGGGGGCCCGGAGCCTATGGGGACAAGGCAGGGAACAACCCACAAGTCCATCACAGGGCACACTCACACGCCATTCACTCACACACCATTCACTCGCACGACATTCACTCACACACCATTCACTCACACGCCATTCACTCACACATGCACACCTATGGGCAATCTTGTAACTCCAGTTAACTGCAGGATTTGCACTGTGGGGGGAAACCGGAGTACCTGGAGGAAACCCCTTGACGACACATGCAAACTCCACACACATGGAACCCTCATGG